ATTTCTATTAATGTGTTATTTGGTGGCTTAGAGGGTAAAGCATCTGTCTATAATGCAGGAGACATGGGTTCGATCCCTGGGTCAGGAAGATCCCCTGGCGAAGGAAATGGTAACCCACTCCAGTACTCTTGCCTGGAAAATCCCATAGATTGAGAAGCCTGATAGGTTACAGTCCATGGGGGCCACAAGGAGTCAGACACAACTGAACAACTTCATTTGCACTTTTCACTACAAGAAAAAATAAAGTTATGTTTATTTTGAGCGGCAGTCTAGAAAAGGAAAAAAAGTGAAAAAATTTTAAAAAGTAAACAAAATCTCTAGAGCAAAGATACCAATGGACTCTCTCGTGCTGGAGTTCAAGCTTAATCAATAGGCTCAGGCCACTGGATTCACTTGTGAATCAAGGCTCTTTTCTTTTTTAAAAAATATTTTTTGGATGTGAACTACTTTTAAAATCTTTATTGAGTTTGTCACAGCTCTGTTTCTGTTTCCTATTTTGTTTTTTTTGTACGTGAGGCATGTGGGATCTTAGCTCCTAACCAGAGAGTGAACCTATAGGGACATCCCTGGTGGTCCAGCGGCTAAGATGCTTCAGTCCCAATGCAGGAGGAGTTTGATCCTTAGTCAGGGAACTAGATCCCATACGCCACAACTAAGGGTTGGCATGTCACAACTGAAAACCCCGAGTGCCACAAGTAACACCCAGTGAAGCCAAATAAATAAATGAAAACAAGATAAATATGATATAATGCAAAAAGGAAATCTTGTCAACCATCTTTTTCATAAAAATTAACATCAACCATGTTAGTAGGAAAGAAAGAAAGAATACACGCTCAAATGTGACCCAGGTGGAGGAGGGAAAGTAAAGTTTTTTCCAGGAGGAAATGGATGGAATGTGTCTTTTATGTAGTATTATCTTTAAAAAAAAAAAACTTTTCTGGGATTCACAACCTCCCTGTGCAGCCTATTACAGTACTTCATCAGCTTGAGGCTCAAGAAACTTAATCAATACCACGCTTGCCTCAATTTAAGGCCAATTATTCTTTTGCAGTCTTGAACACACACAGAAAACACTGTTCATTTCCCAAAGTTATCCCACACAGGTTTCACAAAATCCATTTAATTGTTTCCTGGAACACTTGAAAGATCCCTCTTTATAGCATTTCATGATGGCAGCACCAATCAATGAAACGAACAATTCCTAGATTCGATTTGCAGGAAACTCAATACAATACATTTTACACGAGGATTTATTTGCTGTCTACATTCTAGCTTTCATGTAGTCCTGGACATTGATCTTTAGGGGAATCAAAATTTTTTTGATTTATCAATAAAGCAAACTATTTTTGAACTGATTCTAATTTCTTAGCTAGTAGAACTTCTTGCTTGGGATTTAAATACAATGGTGCATTTTCTACAAATCAATTAAATTACTTTGTAATATGAAGTCAGTCAAGTGATTTTTTTATGCCAAGAAAATATTTTAGTCTTCCCATTCACTTATTTATTCAGTAACTATTTATAATATGCTAAGTATTCTTCAAGGAACCAAGGACTCAATAGTCAGTGATACGACTCTCAATTTGCTGATTCTTGATACCAATAATGATGGGAGTTAACTGGTAATCCAGTGGTTAAGACTCCATGCTCCCAAAGGAGGGGACCTGGGTTCGATCCCTGGTCAGAGAACCAGATCCCATATGCCTCAACTAAGAGTTTACATGCTGCAGCTAAAGATTGCACATGCTACAACTAAGACCCAGTGCAGCCAAACGAATACTCTCTCTCTCTCTCTCTATATATATATATATATATAAGAACACGGGTGGGCAAGCTCAGTTGCTCAGCTGTGTCCGACTCTTTGTGACCCCACAGACTATAGCCCGCCAGGCTCCTCTGTCCGTGAGATTTCCCAGGCAAGAACACTGGAATGGGTTGTCATTTCCTCCTCCAGGGGATCTTCCTGACCCAAGGATCAAACCTATGTCTCCTTTGTCTCCTGTATTGGCAGATGGGATTCCTTACCACTTAGCCACCTGGGAAGCCTCTAATAACGTGAAACTTGATCTAAATGCAGACCAGAAACACAGAATTGTCATCTTAATTAACCTAACGCTTAGTTTCCTGGGGAGATGGACATCCTGAGTGAAGAACTGGACTTGACAAATTGTAAATTTGGGTGTGTATATTTTGCCACAACAAAGAAGTAACAAAAGTATATTTTACTGGAAGAAGGAAATGGCAACCCACTCCATATTCTTGCCTGGGAAATCCCACAGAGGAGAGTGGAGGGCTACAGTCCATGGTGTCACAAAGAGTCAGACACAACTGAGCGTGCACACACACATAGTGCATTCTGAGGAAAGACCATAGGTGTGCCGTAGAGTTCTACATTCAGGGCTTCTTTAAAGATGTCATCCACTTAGTATGAATAGAATGCTAGACTACTAATTTTAAAAAATATGCAACAAGCAACAAAGGTGTACTGTATAGCACAGGAAACTACAGTCAATATCTTGTAATAACTTACAATGGAAAATAATTTCAAAAAAATATATGTGTACAACTGAATCCCCTTGCTGTGCACCTGAAACACTGTAAGTCAATTATACGTCACTGAAAAATATACGTTAAGAAAAAAATGTATTTTAAAAATAGTAATCATATGCACAAATACAAAACACACCCAACTTACCCCTGTAAACATCTATTATTTCAATGGTTCATAAATGTCATTAACTTCAGAGGATCTCAGATCTATTATTATGCAATAATGTTAATAATAATAATATTACTTATGTCTCTATATTTAGTCACATTCCTTCAATCTTCTAGTGTAAGTGACAGCAGTTTAATTGTGCCTCTGCAATCCTATGGACTGTAGCTCACCAGACTCCTCTGTCCATGGGCTTCTCCAGGCAAGAATACTGGAGTGGGTAGCCGTTCCCTTCTCTAGGGGATCTCCCTGACTCAGGGATCGGACCTGGGTCTCCTGCATTACAAGCAGATTCTCTACCACCAGCGTAGCCACCAGGGAAGCCCCCTCATTCTTCTAAATGGCATTTAAATTCAAATAGCATAGATAAAGAGTTTGTATTAAATGAGACAGCCTTCTTGTTAATACTTCTCTGAGTATCAGAGAAGAAAAAAGTTTTAAGTAAAGCAGTAAAACTTCAGTACTGTAAAAAAAATAATGGCTTTTGCTACATTAGCAATGAATGTTGTTCTTTTTTCAGTTTTTAAAACCCAATAGTTGCCAAAAAACCATTATTCTCATTCATATTATGACCATTTATTCCTTTATTCTGGAAATATTGATGAATTAAAAAAAAAAAAAACACTGCTCACTACTTGAGAGGGAAAAAAAGCTGCAAATTAGTTGATACTTTTCACTGAAATTAAAATATATTTATCACATTGAAAAGTCAGGTTTATGCATTATGGCTGAGCTTGATGAATATGACTATAGGTGAGAAAAGCATAAATAGTAAAACAAAAAATCAGTTTAAATTAAAAAAAATGTCACATATGCAATCTCACAGGAACAGGAACTGCAATTCAGTTTTTATTTTTATTTTTCTTAATTTGACATACATCACACATATCGTACATACATACTTGTTATATAAAAGTTTATACAAAAATCCAAGTAATTTAATATTTCAAAAAGGGAGAGGGACATACTGCATTTGATTCCTGGTACTATTCTGTTTAAATACTTTTAAATTCAGATTTCAAAGAGACAACAAATCAAAAGCCATTAATTTTCAAAGAGCCCTATGTTCACATAAATTCATCATTCAAGTATATTTTTATCAAAACAATAAACCATCTGTCTGGATGCAGAGTCAAGCTGAATGAGCCAGGATGTTGAGAAAAGCAGAGCTTTCTCCCGGGGCTGTCATCAGCTTAGAATCAGCTTCTAACATACGAGATGCAGGAGATGACTGTGATTTCCAACCCGACACTATCAAATGCCATATTACAGGGCAGACGACGCAGAGCATACCTTGTATGGTTTGTCTACAGATTCTCATTAAAAATATAATACTAAAAAGAATAATCACAGTAATTAAAAATTTTACTTTCCCTAATTTCTGTTTTACTCAGTTTGAAAAACAGTACATCTTTTTCACTGTTGCTTGGCAACTTGACATCACACCTGAAGGAATAATTTAAACAGCCTATGGACAAAATAAATATACAAACTTCTAAAAGATCTTGGTATTGTTTAGTTTATATAGTCATAATTTCCGTCCTATGGATATCAATCACAGCAAATATAAAGAGTTAAAACAATATTCCTCACCAAAGGATTAACATGTTTTTAAAAAGTGAATTGTTGAGGCACAAAAATATGTGATTTGCCCAAGGTCATGAAAGGAATGAGAGGCAGAGGAAAGAGCTTATTTTTCTCTAACTTAAGCATCTATACTAAAACCCTAGGTTATGCCATCTTGCAAAACTAGCTCAGTGCAAGAGAAGCAGAAACTAGATGCATTATTTAGGAATGTTTGTTTAACCTCCACTGCTATTATTGATAAACTTAACTTTAAGGATCTATGTGTAGGATACATGATTAGGCAACTATAAAAAGAACCATGATCATTTTCCAAATTATGAGGCATGGAGTGGGTAGCCATTCCCCTCTCCAGGGGATGTTCCCGACCCAGGGATCAAACCTGGGTCTCCTGCATTACCGGCAGATTCTTTACCAGATGAGCTACCAGGGAAGTCCATAGTTTTAAGGATCTATGTTAATGATACATGATTAGGAAATTATAAAAAGAACCATGATCATTTTCTGAATTACGACGCATGTAGTGAGTTATTGTTTAAATCTGACACAACTGATTGCAGAAACAAAATGACAACATAATTTTAAGCAAACAAATTCAATGAAAGATGCTTCTTGATGTGATTAAAAAAAAATACTAACTATAGAACCTACAAAATTTAGAATACAGTCCTATAGATACAAACAGATTAATATAAATGTATTAAAGCGTCTTCTGGTTGATCTTTTGTTTGTTATGAAAACGTTCTAGCAAAGCACCCATTATGTTTCCGGGTATTCTTTGGTGCTTATCAATCAGAGCTTGAAGAGCATCCTTCGTCTATCAAGAAAGCAAAAGAAAAGCCGTTACTCTTTTAGTTCTCAATGTAGATATTTAGTTTGTAAGGATTTTAATATACTAGTACTTTAAAAAAGTCTTCCCGAACTTAGCATCTATCAATCCTCAGAATGAATGACTTCTTTCTCAGTACACCCACAGCATATTGCTTTTGTTTTTTAATGTAATACAGTTAATTTAACTTCAAAAATCTTTCAGCATTCTAAACATACAAAAAATAATGCAATGTTGCAAATTTTGTTTAGTACAGAAGGTTCTTGAACTTTCATTCATGTAGTGACTCTTCAAGGTGCCTAGCATATTTCTTTCATTTTTATTTTATTTTTTTGGAGTATCATTGCTTTACAATGCTATGCTAGTTTCTGGCTGTATAACAAAGTGAACCACCTATATGTATACATATACCCCCTCCCTCCTGAGCCTCCTTCCCAATCCCTCCCCCATTTGACCCAGCAGTCCTACTACTGGGCATATACCCTGAGAAAACCACAAGTCAAAAGGACACATGTCCCCAGTGTTCACTGCAGCATTGTCTATAATAGCCAGGACATGTGAATAACCTAAATGTCAAATAACAGATGAACGGATAAAGAAGCTGGGGTACATATATATAATGGAATATTACTCAGCCACCTTTCCTACACTCACTTTATTAGAGTTGAATTACAGATACTGTCCACAAGGCAACTTTCTACACCTTAAGATACACCTAAGCATTTTTCTAGCATTGTGCACAGCAATGCCCTATACACAGCAAACACTAAAAAGAACTGAAGGGGGAAAACATCAGAAGGAAAAAAGTTGTAGGAAGTTTTCTGGTGGGCTCATGGAAGTTTCACCCCTTTCCAGCTGTCCACAACAAAATGCCAGCGGTGCTCAGGTTGAGAAATCAAGCCACAAGCACAGCATTGTGCTAATGTGCTCATATGCATGCTCAGTTGCTCAGTCATGTCCAACTCTTTGCAACCCCATGGACTATGGCCCGCCAGGCTCCTCTGTCATAGCATTTGCCAGGCAAGAACACTGGAGAAGGTTGCCATTTCCTTCTCCAGGGGATCTTCCCAACCCTGGGATTGAATTCACGTCTCCTGCATTGACAGGTGTATTCTTTTACCATTGAACCACCTGGGAAGCCCCCTTGTGCTAACACATCACCTTAAAAACATCAATGTAGTTATTGCCTTCTACATGGGGTTGTATGTTCCTAGGATAACAATAGTAGCCAGCACCCATGGAGCACTTACTGAATGGCAGACACTATTTTCAACAATGAATGTGATCAGTCGCCTGTGACCCTCTGGGTACAATGTGAATGGGCTCCGTTCTTCTCCCCTAGACTAGAGGAGGGTGATGGGGCCTGCCTGAGTCACAGAGCACTGGAACAACCTGACTGCACAATTCACAAACAAGATTCCATTTTCCTCCCAAGGTACCACTACCAGACAAAGGCAATTGCTTTCTTTTCATGGAGGTCAAAGCTTTCTTCGTCTAAACATCACTTACAAAACTTTTTAATCATCAGGGCCAAGAACTTCAACCTCAACAGTACTGACATTTTAGAAAGAACAGCTCTTCGCTGTGGGGGCTGCCCTGCCCACCACAGAGTATATACCAGCATCCTTGACCTCTACCCACCGGACTCCAAGGGCACCACCACCTCCTGAGTTCTGTCCGTTGTGACAATAAAAATGTCCCCAGACACAGGCAGATGTCCCTTGGGGGAAAAGTCACTGCTGATCCAGAACACATTTATAGAATTAATGAGTTCATTTTAAGTGAAAGTACAAATATGTCCTAAAACTAAAGAAAGAATAATTTACCTTTTCGGCTAGTTCTTCTGCTGTGATCTTTGGGTCGTATGGAATGGGATCACCTAAGTAGGTGCGCAACTTCACAGGAAAACCTCCGTACATGGGGGCAAATGGATAGCGGAACTTTTCATAAAGCCACCTAAACAGCCCTGTTTTAAAGGAAATGAAATCATTTTAATTGTTACATATTCAAGCTTATAAGTGTAATCTTTCAAATGAATTATGTAAGACTTTGAGGAAGGGGACAACCAGTATCATCTCCTGGCAATTAATACAATACTTTTTTTAAAGGGGAGCTTTTCACTGATGGTAACAAATGTACCACACTAATGCAAGATGTCAGAAACAGAAGAAACAGGAGTGGTGAGGGGTGTGGGTCCCCTCAGTGCCTTCTGCTCTATTTTTCTGTCAACCTAGAAATGCTCAATAAATAAGGTCTATTAATGGGGGGTAGAGGTGGAGATGAGCTTTCAAAAAATAAGAATTTTAAAAGACAAACTAATTACTATTATTGTAAAACAGGATAAAGACTGCAACAAAAAGTTAGAGGCTAAACAGTCTAGAGGCTCACAAATACGTGGCTTACATGAATAAAAGGAAAAAATGGAGCCATAAAATAAATTCAAATAAACATGAGACCAAAATACACTGAAAAACTAAGACTAAAAATATTATAAATTAGGAAAAAGAATTATTAGTGCTAAGGACCAAGTGTGCAATTTAGCAAGATTAAAAGCTGTAGTAATGTAACATAAACTGATGGACTAAGACTGTGTAAGTTTATAAAACAATACACAAAAGGCAAGGAATGTGGAATACACACTTATGAATTATAGTGAAAGTTTAAAACACTGTTTATATGTGGAAACACAGAATATACCATAAGACCCAGAGTAGTACTTGAAACAATATATTTCTACACATCAATTTTTGAGATATTCAACTTTTAAAGTAAATAAGGCAGTCAAAAAATTTTAAAACCACTTTATAGTTAAAGGAACAAAATTAGGAATGATTTCTGGTATGCAACTTAAATTCTAAAGAAATGACCTGAAAGAAAATTAGAAGGAACAATTATACAACAAAAGTTAAATATCACATCAACCTGCCTTTCTATTTCACATTTGAGAAAAAAAAAGACCTAAGAAAACATAATATAATATCAACTATACCAACATTAGACATAAAAGGAACAACAGAAGTTCAGGGTTTTCAGGATGGGATTTATATATGGATAGGAACACTAACAATATAGTGCTAAGGATACAAAATATAATCAAATGCAGAAACCACAGGGTACAAACAAACCATAAAAATTTCATAAAAACAAATAGGACAACAACAAACTCCAAAGAGAAAGCACATCTAATAGCTATCCTTCATATAGCTTGAGTCAAAGCTATTTCTATCAAAAATTAAAGGGAGGCAAAAAGAACTCTTTGATGTAAGTTTATTATGGTTCAAAAAAATAAAAAGAACAAGAAGTAACAGCAATAAATGAAAGCAAATGGTATCTCCTTAAGTTGCTAATCTTAATTCAGTGTTTTGTCGCCATCCATTTTTAAAGCTGTAACTTCTTCAGCAATGAGTTAGGAAGGTAGTCTGGGTAATACGTTAAGTCTGCTCTAAACCTCAACAATATGGTTTAACACAGGATTAGAAAATTCACTGTGCAATTTTTAAAAGCCCATGGTAAATAACCTTCAGAATATATGAGACTCAACAAAAATTTGACACCTAAATCTGCCATCACTTAGAACCAGTTATCACTTAGATTTAAAAAAGAAAAACACCTAAATAGTATATGCATTTTCTAAAAGAAATTCAAAAGGTTTCTGCATAGTGTTTAAAAGTCCAAATATTTAAAATATTACATTCTAAATATTACAGTTATACTTAGAAAAACCATATGAATCACAACTTACTTGTTCCTCCAAGTGATCTAAATCCTTCTCGAATATTTTGTGTAAACATAGGAATAATGGGCTAAAGAGAGAATTTGAATTAAAAAGTAAATATATTAATCCATTTGATGTCTCCATTAAGTCACTACTGCAAAATTTTAAGGGCCTGTTTAAGTCACAAAACTAAGGTATTTTAAAAAACAAAAATATACTGTTATCACTAGTGTGATTTATCGAATAAAATTAATGTGGTATTTATAAATATATATATATAAATTGGAAACACTACCCTCTAGTGGTAATATGCAATGTTTCATTTACCAACTTTGCTATCATTCTACAAGAAATCCTGAAACTCAAGGATTAAAGTAATCATCAACGTCATTGAGTAAAATGAACATGATAATTAAATTGGTTTTAGTGGGGTACTGAATAGTATGCTCACTGAAGAAAAAGTTACAAGACAGAAATTCTCTCTATGGGGAAATTTATATAATTTTAAATAACGAGTTTTGGCAAGATGCTGTCCTGAAATTCATGAAACACCATTTTTTGTGTGTGAGCTTATTAAACCTGAAAGGGTTCAATATTAACAAAAACTGTATAAACTGTTGTTAAGTCAATAGGCTATGTCTGACTCTTTTTGTGACCCCATAGACTATAGCCCATCAGGCTCCTCTGTCCTTAGGATTCTCCAGGTAATACTGGAGTGGGTTGCCATTTCCATCTCCAGGTGATCTTTCAGACCAGGTATCGAACCCCCATCTCCTGCAGTGGCGGGCAAATTCTTTACTGATGAGCCACCAGGGAAACCCATGTATTAAGACTCAACACCAAAAAAATAGGAAAAGCATATGTGTGTATGTGTGTGTGTATATATAAACTCTTCATATCATTAATTTTGGAGGACATCTGTTCACAAGTTCATGGTTTTTATTTTTCCATGATTATCAATGATTAAATATGATTCCCTGGTGGCTCAGATGATAAACAGTCTGCCTGCAATGTGGGAGACCCAGGTTCAAGCCCTGGGTCAGGAAGATCCCCTAGAAAAGGAAATGGCAACCCACTCCAGTATTCTTGCCTAGAAAATCCCATGGGTGGAGGAGTCTGGCAGGCTACAGTCCATGGGGTTGCAAAGAGTCAGACATGACTGAGCGACTTTACTCACTTAAAATGGAGGCCTTATCTAATCATAAAATAACAGACTAAGTCGCAAAGGACCATGTAAGGAGATTATGCCATGGTGAAAATGAAGTAGATAAAAAATTGAATAAAATACTTTAAAATGTACAGAAAACATACTGAATTAACTGATGTTTAGAATAAATAAAATTGGTGGGGAAGGGCGAGTGTCACTTCACTTACAGTCTACCATCAGCATTTGCTAAATCAGAGTGACCTGCCTTAGTGAGCAGGGCTTGAAACATTTACATAAGCTGACATTTAAAAAGCTGTTCCTTTTCAGCTTTGGAAAGCAGTAAAAAGTGGTGGGCTGAAGGAAAGAGACCGCAGGCACAGCTTTCTTCATAAAACTTACTCCCTCACATATACCTAACTGATCACTTATTTATTATCTCTGTAACCAACAGCAGAGACTTTGCTTCATTCACAGTTGGATCCCCAGCACCTGGAAGGCTGCCCAGAAAAAGTAGGTGCTAACAGACATTGTAATGGACGAACCACAGAAGGAATGAATGGACAGAACAGAAAGAAAATTCTGAGGAATTCAGTTGTGTTCTCTGAAAACAAAGGGTAGGAAACAGACAGCAGGCATTTTAAAAACCAGTTAGGATAGAGAGAAGTCATGTAAAGAAAAGTAGTCAGAGGAAGAATTTAAAATCTGATGGAGTTCATTCACAAAGCTAACACCTAAGACAAAGTAGACTGACTCTTCTGTAAAAAAATTCAGATTATGATTTTTCTAAAACCAACACTAGTTTTGTAGAATAAAGTGATGGCTAGAATCCTAATGTTTTAAATAGTTGTATAATGTCTTCAGAGTTGAGAAGATAAGATGCCCAAGAAGGAACAGAAAACTTACAGCTCATATATATACCACTTTGTCTTCTCCAACCAGTCCTGGCAGATTTACATTTACTGACTGGCATTAACCCCAAAGTTTGTATTGAAGGGTGTACTTTATAAAGACTCTTCAGGATGCATTTGTAGTTGTTGTTCAGTCACTAAGTCATGCCTGACTCTTTGTGACCTCATAGACTACAGAGCACCAGACTCCTCCGTCCTCCACTATCTCCTGGAGTTTGCTCAAATTCTCATCCATTGAGTTGGTGAAGCTAATCCAACCATCTCATCCTCTGTCACCCCCTTCTCCTCCTACCCTCAATCTTTCCCAATGAGTGGGCTTTTCACATCATGTGGCCAAAGTATTGGAGCTCCAGCTTTAGCATCAGTCCTTCCAATGAATATTCAGGATTAATTACCTTTAGGATGTACTGGCTTGATCTCCTTACAGTCCAAGGGACTCTCAAGAGTCTTCTCTAGCACCACAATTCAAAATCATAAATTCTTCAGTGTTCACCCTTCTTTATGATCCAAGTCTCATGTTGTACATGACTACTAGAAAAACCACAGCTTTGACTATACAGACCCTTGTCAGCAAAATGATGTCTCTGCTTCTTAATATATTGTCTATGCTTGTCATGGGGCTTCCCAAGTGGTGCTAGTGGTAAAGAACCCACCTGCCAAAGCGGGAGACATAAGAGACGTGGATGCAATCTGTGTGCCAGGAAGATCCTCTAGAGAAGGGAATGGCAACCCACTCCAGTATTCTTGCCTGGAGAATCCCACGGACATGGAAGCCTTGTGAGGTACAGTCCATAGGGTCACAAAGAGTCAGACACGACTGAGACAACTTAGAACACATGCACTAGGTTTGTCATAGCTTTCCTTTCAAGGAACAAGCATCTTTTAATTTCATGGCTGTAGTCACCGTCCATAATGATTTCAGAGCCAAGAAAATACACTCTGTCACTGCTTCCACTTTTTTCCCTTCTATGAAGTGATGGGACCAGATGCTATGATCTTTGTTTTTTTCATGTTATGTTTCAAGCCAGCGTTTCCACTCTCCTCTTTCACCCTCATCAAAAGGCTCTTTAAGTTGCATTATCATCCTTTAATGGCTAACTCTGCAGAGGCTGGGCATTTCTAGAAGACATTAAACAAGCTTACCCTACAAACTTAGTACTCCTGAGTCTGTGGTTTCTAAATTCATGTTCAAGTTTGCTGCTCTACAGCTACAAGCATTACCGTTATCACAACTATATACTGCAGTTCATTCCTTTCTTTGTGCGTGCTTTGTGTAACAAGGTAGTTGCCTCAGTAACCTAGAATCAAATTGTTAACATGTACATGTATGTGAGAGGGAGAGACTGTGTATTTTGTTAAAACCCCTCTTAGGGAATACAGTGGTCTTGGAGTCTTTGCCACAAAAATGTTAAGTGGGAAGCACTGAACAAGTCACTCATTACATCTTAGTTTCTTCATGTGTGGAACGGGGACAATAATAAGAATGATCCCATCTCAAGGTTTTTTACAGATTAAGATAATACACATAAACGATATTACTGAAACAAATGCTATCTTTTTTGACATTTGTTACCTGTTTTCCAATTAGAGTACACAGGCTCATTTTTATCCCAACTTATTTAGGTATAATGTTACCTAAAAATTCTCAACAAAGTCAGAATTCTCAGGAATTCACAAAATAAGAGTGATTTAGATTATATCAAAAAGCCTATAATTTTCACATGAACCTTCAATATTTGCTACCAATATTTTGTGAACTTCCACTGACAATCTAGATTTTTTTCATTTGAATTTCCATTACTTTGTTATTATACAATTTAAATGCAGCTAACCCTGCAACAATGATCTTAAATTCTGACTCAAAATTTATGGTAATTCTGTGAGACCTAGCAAAGGCTTTTCTAAATAAGTTACTGGTGCCATGTACAGCTGTGTCCACATGCGACTAAAAGGCTTCCTTCTTGGACCTGGAAGGGCCTCTAAGCTCAGGGTGGGCGGACTCACTGTGAAGTGCACTGGCTGCCTGCCATCCTTAACTGCAAGCTCTGCTTCGGTCCCTCCATCTCTCTGTGCCTGAGTTTCCTCATCTGCAACATTGGAATAATCACATACGTCACCTACTTACTGTGCAGGGTACCAATGCAAAGCCTTTAAAAGCATTAAGAAAGGTTGGGGGTGATGCAAGACTTATCAACAATACAGTGCTATGATGTAAGCCAGTAATGTTAAAGATTTTTGTTGATTAATTTGTAAAGGACTGTTCATTAAATTTTCTCAAGTTTTGTACCAAAACCTTAAGTGATCTAGGTTATCTTATTTATCTAGAAACTCACAGATTGATGAAAGGGTTTCTTTCTCTATGTGATTTCTTTCTATCAAACCTTCTTCCAGGCAACGGTCCTTAAAACCGTTACTTAAGGATGAGGAATTAGAGTCCCATGATCAATGTGAGTGATGTTTTCACCATTTTTATCTTACACTTTGGAAGAAATAATTCTCTCAAAATATAAACCTGAACATTGAACTAGGTTTTTAGCTTTTATCAATGTACAATGTTCAATGTACATTTATACTGATAAGCCTTAATTTCTGAACAACTGTGCATATATCATCTTGTATCCACAGTATTCGTAAAGTCTAAAGTTTTGTTTTCTATCTTAATACATAAGATTTTTTAGAAAATATGCTATAAATTAATTTTCTATATCAGTAAAACTATTAACCTAGACTTAAATTCAAAAGGTTACTTTCTTATAGTGTTTAATATTGTGTTTACAAAATCAATTCAAAATACACAGAGCCTAAGTGCTAATCACTGTACTCAGAACTCAGACTACAAAAAGATGGCTTTGTCTTAAGGAAGTGTATAACCTACTGTAGGACAATAGTGTTTAAATTTTTATGTTCTCCATTATAGAACACTTGGCCAAGTACATTAACTTACACCAAGATCATACTGATAAAGCACTATCTTCCAGTAGTTACATATACAAATATGTACAGTAGAGAATAGAGCACAATGTATTATATTTTATTTTAACTCTGCGATTTAAAAAATAAAGGAAAAATGTCCATGTTCCCTTAAATGTTGCTTTTGGGTTAGAAGGAAACATCCATAATCCCTTCTTTTTTAATCAAAGGTCTGTATTTGCAAGATAAACAGTCAAGTTAAGGGTCTAAACTGGTGTCTACATGACAGCAATGGAAACACACAGACAAAAAAACAAAAATGTGAAAGTATGGGCAGCAGTCTCTAACTAACTGGCCTGGAAAAAGAAAACCATCTTGGCAAGTGCCACGATTTCTTTTTCTGATAGACAATCTAAAATGAAAATAAAAGAGAAAACAAAGAAGAAACATCCCATAAGCAGTGTTTCATAGCACAAAGTACAATACAGAGACCAAAAAGCTGAGAAATACTTTCCAAAGCAAAAGAAAAGGACAAGATGACATTCAGATTCTCCAGTTTACTAAGAATAATTACAGTGACTCCCAGAGGAACCGTCACTTTATTGACAAATTCATTCTTTTTTAAAAGCTCTAAATTACACCAATATCTATTTCTCATCTTTATTCATACTATTAGATAGCTGATCACATTTGCTGATGAAAAATGGCAGGAGTCATATATTATTTGAGTTCTATTGTTATAAATTGGTCACAGACACAAGGATGATAATGAAACCAACTAACAGCCATCACTGAAATATGTCAACTCAAAGGATTAAACTACACAGAATTGGACTGATCACACTCATAAAAAAGAGTATAACTGAAGGAATACAAAAATTTCATAAATCTGAATACAAGAAGCTGGATTTTGAAATGTCAAATAAAGCTTTTCTAGGTATCTGTAAATTCCCAGACTGAATTTTTGTAAAGATGGCTTCCCATGCACAAGGACTATTTCTCTACTGTTATGAGTTACAGACACCACTTTTTAAAGTAGTGCAAAGACAGGATCTAAATTCTGATATACTTTGGCTACAAGCATTTAAAGTTGACCTAGCTTTCCTTTAATAATCAGTTTTATACAACTCACCACTTTTGCATCGATTGCAACCTGAGCGAAGCCTTTCCGATTACCCCACACAATGTTGTAGGTCTCGTCACTCATCAGTGCTTCCCGAACGCCACCTGGTGAGATAGCTAGCAAGTGACCACTCTGCAGGATTTCAACACATTTTTCTCTTGGTCCACGAATAGCACAAAATACATCAAGTAATAAGCTAAACCCTGTAAGATATATTAGCATGAAGATACATCTTAAGTACTTGTCCAATTTTCTGAGATCAAAAGTTTTCACAACCTACATAATGTAGTCTCTATACTTAAATCAGTAAGTTCTTTTTTTACTTTTTTTAAACCAACAGGAACTCTTAAGGGTAACCTAAGATCAATATTGCTGGTAAATTAATAGCAATGTCTTATTGATCACCTCCTTCATGATCACCTACAACTCTGGTTGCATATTCAAATTCTTAATTAAAACCCCCAAGAACCTGAGAAAATAGGGATTTTTATCCCCATTTTGCAGAGGAAGAAAGTTGGCTCAGAGAATTGAGCACACATCTGGCAAAGGGCAGGGCAGAGATGTTCGTCCAGGTGTGTCTAGACTAAAGCTCTTCCAGTGCATGTCATAGGCAAACACTGTCCACAGTATTTACGAGAGGGGTCAGCAACCACCCATCTAACCTTCCATTAACCCCATGAGAGAGTCACCGAGGAGAACGTGAATCTAACTGACCTAGACCTACCCAAACTGGCAGGTCACAGTTAAATCTATCCAAATTAAAAGCAACCCCATGGACTGTAGCCTGCTAGGCTCCTCCATCCATGGAACTTTCCAAGCAAGAGTACTGGAATGGGTTGCCATCTCCTTCTCCAGGGGATCTTCCTAACCTAGGTATTGAACCTGGGTCTCCTGTGCTGCAGGCAGACACTTTACCATCTGAGCCACCATGGAAGCCCCCCAAATTAAAAGTTACATACAGCTAATTTCACAGTAAGATTTTTTAAATCAACAATAATAGCAATATCACTAAGAGCTTTTAATAATGTTAGTGTTTGGCTTGGGAACAATTCATTCCAGTCTTAATATGATATAGTTTTTCAAATTACAACTACTTATGGATGAAAGAAATAATCCTATCAGTAATTAAATATTTTAACCAAACTCGAAACTGAAAGTTTAGAGGACTGATGTTCATAACATAGTCCCGTGAGACTGGGAAATGTGTGGATGGAGAGTGAAAACTGTGCAGAATAGCCAAACTGCTCATAGGTTTAAGAGTCTGAGGCAAGATTATCAAGATTATTGAGAAGAAATAATATTTTATCTACTATTAAAAGCTCACTGATTTCACTTGATGCACTCTCAAGGTAAATGAATAAATAGGGAAGGTTTAATAAAGTATTATAAGATCATAAAGATTATAAAGGGGGAAACTTTAGAGTCAAATGCTGAATAAAAATATTCACATTCTATTGCATATGTGCTAAGTCGCTTCAGTCGTGTCTGACTCTTTGCAGCCCTAGGGACTGCAAAGAATACTGGAGTAGGTTGCCATTTCCTCCTCCAGGGGATCTTCCTGACCCAGGGATCAAACCCACATCTTCTGCAGCTCCTGTATTGCAGGCGGATTCTTTACTGCTGAGCCACCAGGGAAGCCCCTTACATTCTATTGTGTATATTTAAAAAATGGAAGCAACCTAATGTTTCATAAGAGAAAACAAGTAAATATTTTAATCATATATTAAAAATGTCCTTTATAAAACATGGGAAAATGCTAATGTTGCATTAATTTTTTTAAAAGAACACAAAATAGTTTACATAAAATGAAAAAGTACAAATTAAAAATGAAGGAAAATACATCAAAATGATAACTGGGTACATGTTAGCGTGATACGACCATGTAATGATGTTATTTCCTCTAGTTTTCAAGTTTATTATAAAGTGATCACATTACTTTCTAAAAAAATACCTTTATAGCCAATTTGCTTTATACACAAAGTACTTTGTGTATAAAAAAGATGGCTTTTTTAGTGACACAGGGATACTGGAAGCATTAACCATGTCTGTGAAAGGCACTAAGTGAACTGTTATTTCATGCGCTGTCTGGGGCTTAGCTGGCTGATGGTTGGCTTTTGCTTTTATTAATCCAGAAAACATGCTATAAATTTTCTTGGCTTGTTCCCAGTAATTTAGTGACAGAAGAAAATCTCAGTGGGTTTACTTTAGAATGATTCTTTAAAATCTCTTATCATGTTTGAAACCATTCCACTTATTTTTTTTTTCTTTTTTGGCTGTACCCTATGGCCTGTGGGATCTTAGTTCCCCAACCAGGATTGAACCTGTGCCCTCAGCAGCGAAAGTAGAGTCCTAACTGCTGGACCGCCAGGGAATTTCCTATTAATGTTTTTATTTTTATTTTATTGTGTCTTCGGGGGCCACACCACACAGCATTCAGGGTCTTAGTTTTCTGATCAGGGATCAAACGTGTTCCCCCTGCAGGGGAAGCATGGAGTCTTAACCATTGGACCACTAGAGAAGTCTCCCTATTAATCTTTTTTAAAAGGCACAAAGCCTTTAGGAACAGGAATATTAAAAAGAATGTAGTCCTCAATCTCAAGAGTTTTAATTCTACCATGCAAGTCAAATATGATAAGAGACATAATAGGCTATATAGATTAGGATTTTTGAGGCAATATTATGTTACTATGTAAAGACAAAATATATCCTAGCTAGCTTATTTCACTAATTTTCATTTGCTATCCAACTGACAGTAATCAAACCCTGATTACTGTAGAAGTAAATGCTCAAATCAATACCTCACAGAAAAATTCACCATATGAAAAGTTAACTACCTTCTATACCAAAATATATATTAATTGTTTGGCAAAAGTTACAGTTTATTTTAGGATTTAACTTTGAAAAATAATTACTAAATACTTATTAATAAAGAAAGAAATCAGATAACATTTTTGGCCATAATGTTTTTATATTTCGATATATTACCTAAAACAGATACTCCCAAATTGGAGTTTCAAGTGTACTACCCTAAAAAGGCAAAAAATAGAGAACTCAAAGATACACAGACTATCACATAATTTGGTAGTGTTCATTAAATACTCTTCTATCACCAGCTACAGTGAAAGTTTACCTGGAATTTTAAAGACAAAGTGATCCGCTACTACTCGGCAAGTTCTGCCTTTATGGATAAAAATTTTCGCCATGAAGTAGTAAAAGTCTATGGGAAAAGCTCCATGATAAAAAATGATCAGTGCTGGTCCTTCTTCTGGTATTTTTTCCATCCCATGAACTTCATAACCTGTTAGAAAAACAAAGCACAGACACTTAAAATGTATTTAACATTAGTCTATTTATACTAAGTCTTCCCTGGTGGCTCAGATGGTAAAGAATCTGCTTGCAACGCAGGAGACCCAGGTTTGATCCATGAGTCAGGAAGATCCCCTGGAGGAAGACAAGGCAACCCACTCCAGTATTCTTGCCTAGAGAATCTCATGGACAGAGGAAACTGGCTTGCTATAGTCCATGGGGTCACAAAGTCAGACACAACTTAGTGACTGAACAACAACAAATATATACATACACATCATTCTTCACAAATTCTTCCCATTCTATTCATTCAAAACAAAGATGACTCGATAGGATCTAACTACTACATGTGGAGAAAAAAAATGTGATGAGAGATTTGAACTGAATGTCAAGAAAATCTCTGTCCTGTAGTATGAGTGGGACTAAAGACATGCCAGCCCTCAACTCTCCTCCCACCATTCTGTGCTGTGGGTAGACTGTGGTAAACACATATAAAAGGTTGAGGTAAGCTCCACACACGTGTCAGTAAAAACTACCGTGTGTTTCATCCCAGGAGGTGGGAAATGGCACTGTGCAGGAGAAGGCATGTGATCCTGGCCCTGGTCTAAGACCTCCTTTTGCCCCCCTTCTCCCCATCAGGGGGTTGTTACAGACCAGAGCCTCAGCTGGACCTGGCAAAGAGAAAAGGGAGCATCCAGAGGCCACGGCCAAGGGTAATGAGGCCCAAAGGAAAAGGAAGGAAGTCTTCAGTGACTAAAGGGGAGAAGGAAAGCAAGTTCCTGTGGCCAGACTCTCCCACACAGAACTGCTGACCCAAGACTGCAACTCACATGGGAAAGACACCACTGTCCAGAATACGGAAATCTGAAACCACCTGTGTGCTTCTTTCCTTCAGTTTATCCCTGTCAGATTTGCTAAGAAACAAACATTTAAACTATAAAGATTTCGGTGTAAATTTTAAGAGATTCATTTTTAAAGTGGTTTATAATATCTTTGGGCTTCCCAGGTGACTCAGTGGTAAAAAATCCACCTGCCAATGCAGGAGACCTGGGTTTGTTCCTTGGGTCAGGAAGATCCCCTGGAGAAAGGAATGGGAACCCACTCCAGTATTCTTGCCTGGGAAATCCCATGGACAGAGGACCCTGGCAGGCTACAGTCCATGAGATCGCAAAAGAGTCGCACATGACTTAGTGACTAAACAACATAATATCTTCACCAAACAGATTAAGTGTGGTAATTGATTCTAGTATTGAAGAAATAAATTATTTGGTAATATATCAAATAGACTCAACAGAACGGTTTTAAAAATTTAATATTTCAAAATTGTTTCTGTACTTTTTAATATTTCTTCCCAATTACCTAATTTTAGTTCAAATAATTCAATTTACTTAGAATCAGTCACTGAAGTTGCCTTAAGTTATCAAAAGGATAGATCGTCCCAGCAGACAAACCTTCTAAGAAATAAAGAATACTTCTTTAAGGGATTCTATACAGACTATTCCTTAGCTTCCCCTTTGTTTTCCAGAATAATTTTCTTTTAAAAGAATTGACAATTAATTGAGCTGTTTCCATATTACCAAATCACCGGGTTGAAAGCAGAAAAATTCAATTCAGCAGTTCACTATCGACAACTAGAGTTTACCATCATTCCACTAAACCTTAAGCCCCAATATTCAACCGCATTTATCGTGAAGCATGGATGTAGTCATACCGCCTCTGGCTCAGAAAGCACCAGTGGATGGTCACACTGGTCAAACACTGTCAAGGCCTTTCAGACCCAAAAAAGCCCATCAAGTGATGTCACATTCTTTCCTAAGTCACATGGACCAGGGCGCCTCCCACCTCCACGCTGCCCACGCGACCGCCTCTAACGGAGCACTTCCGGTCATGTGTTCATAGAAATGCTGGGGCCTTTACCTGCTCCTCCCTTAGACTCTATTACCTGATCACCACGTTCTGTGTGTTTACCTCCACTCTCTTAAGTATATCACTTCCTCTCCCCGACTTGGGTCTTGAAGTGCAACCCCGTCTTCTGCCCACAATACCCTAGTCCTGGAGGGTGATGGGTACCAGGGTTCAGAGAAAGACGTCACTCTCCAAGACGGCTGTTGCCACCGTCCATCCCTCCGCTGTTCAGGGAGGGGGCCTGGACATATGCACGTTTGCGCACATTTCCAGTGGTCTGGGTCCCTGCACCAAGAACAGCCCAGCCCTGTGACGAATGTGGCTCTCTTGTTTTAGGCCGTGAAATACATACTTAGTTACCTCCCCTGCTCTGCGCTCTCATCTTAAGAACTTTCCAGATTCTTTGGCTTCCCCCAGATCTTCACCCGCAGGGATTTATTTATTATGCAATAAATGAGATAACTGCCTATCACTTTGCTTCCCAGGTGGCCTAGTGGTAAAGAATCCCCTTTTCAATGCAAGAGACACAGGTTCAATCCCTGGGTGGGGAAGTTCCCCTGGAGGAGGAAATGGTAACCCACTCCAGTATTCTTGCCTTGAGAATCCCATGGACAGAGGAGCCTGGCAGGCTACTGTCCATGGGGTTGAAGAGTGGGACATGACCGAAGCAACTGAGCAGGCAAGCATGCACCGTAATTTCAGATAAGGCTAATCTCCTAAAAGATGATCCCTTCTAATTGTGACACCAAAAACCCATTTTTAAGGCTGTACACCTACACACTATGGTAAAATGACAATACCATCCTTTTGGGTCTTCTTCAGGAAAGCAAATGGACCTAAAAAGTACCTACAAAATAAAGGCAAACTCCTGGCTGGGCACAGCATTCAATTGTGTCACAACTTAATTTCAGTCTACCTTTCCAGGTTCAGCCTTCCACATACTTCTCACCCAAGAATCAGAATGACACCTCTTTTGGTCCTGAGTACATCCTGTGTTTTACCCAGTACCGGGGTGTCTGCATGTTTGAACACAGGTGGTTTGTGATTATAATAATGAATCTTAGGTTTTTTTCATGCCACAATATATCTTGGACATCTACTTGATAGACACATGTAGTGATTTCTTATAGATGATTTTTAAATGGCTATAAAGTATTCCATAATGAATTCCTATCACAGTTCATCGAGCCATTTCCTTATTTAGGGACACTACACTGGACTGTTTCCAGTTTTTCACAAATATTGCGGCAATGAACATTCATTTATATGCATCCTGTACCTTGTGTGAGTTTACCACTAGACTGGATACTGAGATAACTGGATAATAAGGGCAACTGATCATATGATACACCCATTTTAAATTATAACAGAAGCTACCAAATGGTCCTCCTGACTAGCTGCACTACAGTACTTTCTGCACTACAGCACTCTCAGGCACTGAGAGTCCCTGTCTCCACATTCTCTCTCTAATGTCAACAAACTAATTTTTGCCAATCTTTTGAGTAAAAATGATATCTTAGCATAAGTTTTAATTTGCACTTTCCTAATTACTAGGGGGCTTGTGAATCTGTTGGCATTTATGTTTAGGTCATTTTCAGACCACATGTTTAGACCATTTAAATTGGATTTTTTTATTTACTGTTTTCTAAGTTACACTGTAAATGACCTACCCTGATCTGCCTGATCTTTTGACACAACTTTTAGTTATTCTCAATAGCTTTTGTTTTGCATCTTCTTTAAGATCTTCCGTACTTGAAGGTCATCAAGTATTTTCCTGTCTTCTCGTGCTCACCTCTAACACCACTTTTATCACTTACTACATTCATGTTTCTAACTTTTTAATCTGTTTGATCTACTTGTGATAATCCTTTCCCTGGACCAACACTGTAATTTTAATCATGATAAATGTTGATGCTTTTGATATGATAGGGGGAAATGCCCTCTTTTATTTCCAATTTGCCTTGGTTATTCCTCTTTACTCTTCTATATGAATTTTAGAAGTTGACGAAAAATCAGTTATATTGAATTAGTAATTGAACTGGGAGTGTGGGCATAGAAGGGACATCTATATTACACTGAGACTTTGTATCCACTTCAATTGTTTCGAATTCCATCTGTAAAGCATATAGTTTCTCCTTAAAGTTCTACATGTTTCTGTTAGATTTAGTCTCAAATAGAATGATTTCCATTTTAAAAATGATTATTGGTAGTATATGATTTTGTGTTTAAGCAAACTTATCAGTACTAGTAAGTGGATTCACTTAGTTCTTTCAGGCCTCTTTTCTCATCTCTTTATTTATTTCCAGGAGCTCCAAGAGAATGTTAAACAGTAGAAATTGAGAGCAACCTTGTCCTATTTCCTACTTATGGTAACTGCTTTCACTTCTCTAATGTGGATCATTTTTGTTGAATATTTCTGGAACATTCCCCCTTATTAAAGTAGTACCTTTAGTCTTCACTTACTAAGTTTCTTTTTTTATCGTAAGTACTGAATTTTATAAAACTACTTTGAGACTGACCTACAAATCTCCCTTTTGTATTCTCCTTAGTTTCGATAGCAAGGTTCTGCTATCCTTGCAAAATAACCAGTTTACCTCCACTTTTTCCTACACTCTCACTTTAAGAGGGGCATCCTTAAAAGTTTAGCCTAACTTGTGGACTCTCAGCCCTTTGTGAAGAAAGGAGGGTATAGACTTTGACTAGTGTTTCAATATTTATTGTATGGTTATTGGTCTGCTCTGTTTCTCTCTCCTTCTTGAACCAATTTTGATCATTTCTCTTTTCCTTCAAAAACACTGTGTATTTAATTTTTAAATATAATGGTGTGAGGTGAAGTGAAAGTCGCTCAGTCATGTCTGACTCTTTGCAACCTCATGGACTATACAGACCATGGAATTCTCTAGGCCAGAACACTGGAGTGGGTAGCCTTTCCCTTCTCCAGGGGATCTTCCCAACCCAGGGATCAAACCCAGGTCTCCCACATTGCAGGCAGATTCTTCATCAGCTGAGCCACAGGGAAGCCCAAGAATACTGGAGTGGGTAGCCTATCTCTTCTCCAGCGGAGCTTCCTGACCGGGAATCAAACCACAGTCTCCTGCATTGCAGGTGGATTCTGTGAAACAGTTACTCAGTTATTTCCCCACTCATTCTTCAAATCCTTGTTTAAAAGCTACTTCTTCCATGAACAGTGCTTTCACTTTTGTCCCATAGAAACAAGAATGGACACTTATTGGGTATTCACCTGCCAGGCACCATATTGGACCCATAGTAATTATATAATCATGTGGTCCTCACAGAATCCCTGCACTGATGAGGAAACCAAAGGAGGCAAAACCCACATAACCAACTACTCAAGGTCACATAGTAGCGGGGAGAAGGGCAGGGGAGGGCATCTGTGCCCTTGCCCCTCACCACACCTCCTGCCAGGGGTGTGCCCAGGCTAACCTGCACCTGAGATTGTCAAACGCTTGTGGCCATCCACTCACTGAGTTGTGCAATCACTTTAGTGAGTTACTGTCAGCATTTTTCTTTTTAAATAAGATAGCAGGATAGAACATAGAGCAGATCACATGAAGACAGTCTCTACACACTTGACGAAGTAGATAAACCTGTGTGTATACACTGGGTGGAAGAATGCATTTCTTGCTAGCAACAAGAATAAAAACCTTGACAGCCTAAAAATGTGCCTTGAAAATACTAGGAATCTTGAACACAGCAGGTGTGAAGTTGAACTTAATAATGACCAAGAGGCAAGTGATATATTTTAGTGCTTTCCAAATTATTGGAGCAAGATGCTCTATGAGAGCTAACATTTGTTGAATTTTTATTACATAGTAGAAATTATTCTAAGTACTTTATATCAAGATCCAATGAATCCTTAAAACAACCCATTTTACAGAAGAGGAAAATGAAGTTCAGAAAAGTTTAATATCTTGTTTGAAGAGAAAGGTTATTTACATAGCTTTAAAGGAGCTCTTCCAAGACATTTATCAATTAAAAAGTAAAAACTAGCAACTTTGTGGTGGAGAAGCCTAGCAGACACCCCCTCAACCATGTGATCAAAGTCACCATCACCAGTAATAACACACATTAACATCAGGCACCTTGGATACAATGTACTGAGAATGCATCATCAGTGGGATTCTGGTCAAAAATGCCCAACTTCAGTCTAATTATAGAGAACATCATACCTAAATTAAGACACAGTCCACAAAATCACTGAGCAGTACTCTGCAAAAGTGTGAGGGTCATAAAAGATGAAAAACCCGTTTTAAATTGGAGAATTTAACTAAATGCAGGATGGGATCCTGGTAAAAAGGACTCTGGCAGGGAACCTGGTTAAGATTCCAGTAACCTCTGTAGTTTGGTTGATAGTGTTGTACCACCGTTAATCTGATAACTGTACACACGGTTATGTAAGATGCTAACATTAGGGAAAGCTGAGTGAAAAACGTTAGGAACTCTGTACTATTTTTGCAACTTTCCTGTAATTCTAAAAATTTTTTTTAAATGAAGTTTAAAAAAGTCATAATTGTTGAAACAGGAAGGGAGGAGGAAGAGGGAGAAGGGAGAAAGGGCAAAGGAAGCGAGGTAACCTGCCCGAGGTCACCCAGCTGTGACTGGGAAGAGGCTAGTTTGAGCTCCAGCCAGTGGGCCCAGGCAGCCTTCCCTGTGTGAGACACAGGAGGCGAAGAAACTCTAACCCACCTGAAGGCCACCTGAAGGAGAGCGGGAATGTTCTCTTGAAACCCCAATTTAATATTCCATAAAAAACTCTTCTACAATTCTATAAAGCAGTTATCCTTCAATTAAAAAATAGATTTAAATATATATATACATATATGCAAAAAAAAAATAAAAGAAAAAAAAACAAACCCTGCTACCTGTGGTTTAACTTGGAGAACTCATTTAGTGATGTCCATGTTTTTAAAAAATAATAGTAAATGTAAAGTAAAAAAGTCAAAATTGCTATAATTTAAAGGCTGTAAGCAACTTGAAGGCAGGGACCTCACTGACAGACTACCTAAAAATGCAGATATTTAAAGAAATATCAGGTTCATGTTCCTTGATGTAGTAGAATCACAGAATGGTTTGCAAAATCCCAGAGCACTTACATAATACAGAGTGGAGGGTAAAATTTAAGTTCAAAACAGGAAACACTGGATAGATTCTTATATAAAGATACTTATAGTAACCAATTACAAACAAACGACAGTGTAACAGGTAACTAACTAAATTAGCTATTGGATTTACAGAGTCTATACAGTCATTACAAGTCATGTAAGAAGGCTCAGTGACATGCAGATGCTAGTCTGCCACACAAATAAAAAGCAATAATAAAGGGCAATAAACACACCAGAATTCAATGGCATGGCAAATTTTAGGTGACTGTTATTTTCTTCTCCATATTTATTTTTACTTGCCACATTTTCTAGTGAACATTTTTATTAGTTAAAGACTTCTTTGAAGATTCTTTGCAAAGCATAAATTAAAACTGATTTGACATCAATACAAAATCTGAATGTGCACACAAATACCTATTGCGTATGTCACTAAATGAGTGGAGAAAACTGTTTTAAAAAGCATCACTTATCCCAGTAAAATACAGTGCTAAATTATCGTAACAGAACATTAAAACAGGGTAAGAAGTAATCTATATTTTTACTTCCTCTGAGCCATAGGGGCATATTTAGAAATATCTCAGGAAAACAAAGAATAAATACTTCAAAATTATATACTCACTTAAAAAATAAGTTCAACACTTGAATTTACAGAAATTAAATCATGTCTCTTGAAATATAAATAAATTCAAATCCCTTACAATATGCGTTATCCTGAAATACAGGAGGTTACAAGTGGGAGGGGGACATAGACTCCCGAGTCCTGTAAACCAGGCCACTGCATTTCTGTCTCACAGCTGTATAGACAATGAACAACAGCCGTCTACACAGATGCAGGCTCTGGTCATGGAACGTGGAGACACCATCCCATGGTGGTGGGTGAACAGCCACCAGAGGGTGTGAGGGCTGTGCTGCCTGGCAAGGGCATTGGTATTAGTGGGTAAATAGTAAATTCACTATGTCAGAAGCATGTGTTTGCTGTCTGCATACCTTCTGATGACCACTGCTGGGAGCCCGAGCCACCAGCCAGGAACAGACCTGCTGCGCAGCATGGGTCAGAGACGCACAGGCCGAGACCCAGAAACAAGGGCTGCGTCTTGGCTCTTCTCCCTGGTGTCCTAGTGGCCTTGGGCAAATGATAACCTCTCTGTTCTTCAGTTTCCTTATGAGAAAACTGTAAAATGGAGATAATACATGGGCTCCATCTACTGTGTTATAAGAACTGATGCATGTTAAGCATTTGACACCGGATGACATGGTCAAGTGCTCAAAAATGACTTGCAGGCATATGTAGATTTAAAGTGACAACACGTTAGCTTAGTAAGTCACACAATGACTTCTGAAATGAGGCAAACAGAAAATGGGTAAATTTTGGTATACAGATTATATTTAATTTAAAAATATTATTACTTAGTATTTCATTGTTTAAAAATCTCGACACTGGGAAAGTCAAACTTATTTTGAACAAAATGGAAGTAAACACTAAATAATTAAAGCACTTTCAAAACAGTTTTCTATACTGTTCGTCTCTTACTTTTAGATATTAAATATTCATTTTTTAATTTTAGCTTATTGTCATAGTCTACACAGCTATATGGTTCTTTGTTTAATGGAAACAAATGTGCTTAGAAGAAAATCACTTTAATAAAGACATACATGTGCACCACACATGCAAACAGATAACAAGAAACAGTAACTCTCCCCTCCATCATATTTTTCAACATCTCTTCAATCAACCACAGGGACGATGATGGGGTGTCAGTGCACCCACACCAGCAGAAGCCCAGAGCACAAAGCGATCTGCTTACCATGCCAGACAGCCGCGTGTCCGTCCCACAGGGTCGCCACCGTCTTCCTTGCACCATCCCACAGATTATGGGAGTAGGCTTCTTTTAGCATATTCTTCCTCTTATAAATGTGTAAGAAAACGATAGTAAGGTACAGCAGAAAGATGGTGAAGTAAGGGAGTATTAAAAGGAGGAGTGGTGTGAAAACCCACAAGAGGTAGTTTGCAAAATTCCAGTAGTCCTCCAAGTGCTCCACACCAAACCACGCTTCAAGGATGTGGATGAGACAAGTCATGGAGGGCATGGAATCCTGTCCCACACCACAGCTTTGGTTCTTATTGGTCATTTTTCTTTAGGTGGAAACAGCAAATGCAGTCTCTTTCTTCATCGTCATGGCAGGTCTTCAACTTGGCCACTAGAAGAGAAAAATAATCCAGCGTGATTCTCTTCATAGCTGAGAAGGTAAATGTTTTGGTCTACATAAAAATATGGTGCAAAGTCGTTTCTTAATAACAAAAATGAGTCAGTAGTTAACTCTTAACTTCGTTGCAGATTTAAATGTGAAAATGGGTATCCTCTGTCCACTCGTGAAGCATGCTGGGCTTAGCTTCTGAAAATAACTCACAAGCTACAGTCATGAGGAAAACAAAGCCAATGAATGAAACTGCAGCTTGATCTGAATAGTTTGACTATATCTTAAGTGGATCATACTGAGCATTTGTATCTTAAACTGAGTTATGTTGAGATAACTATTCTTCACAGAAGAAAACATCAATATCTGATTCAATAAAAGTAACCCAATTCTTTAAGAAGTGATGACATATGTTTTGGGGTATTATCTTTTACAAGCAGGTTTATAGAAAAGTTCTCTGTTCCTTTTATGTTATACAATAATAAAAATTTATCAGCATAATTTTTATCTTATATGTCACTAAAATTTCTCTTGTATCTTAAATGAGTGAAGAAACAGAACATTGTTTTGTGTCACTCCCTAAAGCATTCACTTAACTTACCAGAAATTAGATAAATATTTTGTCCCAAGCTTCAATGTATGTATTCTGGAAAACACCATATACAAATGGAAGAAAAGTATGATTCAAAAAAAGATAACCATTAATACCTAGAGACAGAATTTCCATAAAATAAATGGCAAGAGACATAAACACAATGTGTGACAAACATGCTTCCTGCCCTACACCAGTGTATCACAATTCAAAATTATACTCATGCTACCAAAGCTTTTAGTGAAGACCTCTATATACTGTTTTAGCGCTATATGAAAAGGTTCCTCTGTTCACGGGCTTTCCCAGGCAAGAATACTGGAGTAGGTTGCCATTTCCTCCTCCAGGGGATCTTCCTGACCAGGGATCAACCCACATCCCCTGCACTGCAGGCAGATTCTTTACCACTGAGCCACCTGGGAAGCCCCTGTACTCTAAACCCCCTACCTAAGACGCTTTTGCACTCAGAGTTACAGAAAACTGTGCTTCTTTAAAGAAAAAATATGAAGTTAGGATGTGTAACAGGTGATGTCTCTTTTTAGTAACTGCTGGATAAGCTGATGGTCATGATATTTGATGACACAACTGTATTAGCCCTCATGACTACAATCTCCTAAATAAGATTTCCTTCTTCCATTCCTATTTTCTCTGCTTCTGATTCTAAGAGATATTTTATCATTATTCCATACCATGTAACCTTAATGAAAATCATCTCAAATCCTTTGTGGATGAGGCGGGATAGGAAAAAAATGCAAGAAAGAGATGGAGGGAGAGGGAGACAGATGTATGCAAGAGCAGTCATGGGATGTCTTGAGGCCAAGATTATCTTGCTGATAAACCGGCGTGTTGGCAGCACACAGAATCAACTTATCCTCCCAGCGATGGAGGATGTGCCCGGTCTCCTGGTAACCAACAGCACTTCTCTGTGAGAAATCTGGGCCTGTGGTGGAAAAGAAGGTGGACACAGCACACACTGAGCCCACAATCTGTGTTATATTTACATCACATTTTACGCAACCCATCAAAAGAGTCAACCAGAAGGAAATGGCAACCCACTCCAATATTCTTGCCTGAAGAATTCCACAGACAGAGGAGCCTAGCATGCTACAGTCCATGGGGTCACAAAGAGTTGGACACAACTGAATGACTAAACATAAACACACACAGAGTCAAACCACTAAAATTTATCAGTGTTTGAGCATTCAGAGTACGTCAAGGCTGTATATTGTCACACTGATTATTTAACTTATATGCAGAGTACATCATGAGAAACACTGGGCTGGATGAAGCACAAGCTGGAATCAAGATTGCCGGGAGAAATATCAATAACCTCAGATATGCAGATGACACCACCCTTATGGCAGAAAGAGAAGAGGAACTAAAAAGCCTCTTGATGAAAGTGAAACAGGAGTGAAAAAGTTGGCTTAAAGCTTAACATTCAGAAAACTAAGATCATGGCATCTGGTCCCATCACCTCATGGGAAATAGATGGGGAGACAGTGGAAACAGTGTCAGACTTTATTTTTGGGGGCCCCCAAACCACTGCAGATGGTGATTGCACCCATGAAATTAAAAGACACTCCTTGGAAGGAAAGTTATGACCAACCTAGACAGCATATTAAAAAGCAGAGACATTACTCTGCCAACAAAGGTCCATCTGGTCAAGGCTATGGTTTTTCCAGTGGTTATGTATGGATGTGAGAGTTGGACTGTGAAGAAAGCTGATCACCGAAAAATTGATGCTTTTGAACTATGGTGTTGGAGAAGACTCTTGAGAGTCCCTTGGACTACGAGGAGATCCAACCAGTCCATCCTAAAGGAGATCAGTCCTGGGTGTTCACTGGAAGGACTGATGCTGAAGCTGAAACTCCAGTACTTTGGCCACCTCATGCAAAGAGTTGACTCATTGGAATAGACCCTGATGCTGGGAGGGGTTGGGGGCAGGAGAAGGGGACGACAGAGGATGAGATGGTTGGATGGCATCACCGCCTCGATGGACATGGGTTTGAGTAAACTCTGGGAGTTGATGATGGACAGGGAGGCCTGGCGTGCTGCGATTCATGGGGTCGCAGAGAGTCTGACACGACTGAGCAACTGAACTGACTGAACTGAGAATTCAGAGTAAAACAACATAGCAAAACTTACTACTTTTTAAAATAAGAGCTTTCCTCCCTAGGGTGGCTATCATCAAAGAAAGGAGGAAAATAACAAATGATACTGATGATATGGCAAAATGAGAACCTTTGTACATTGCTAGTCACTGTGGAAACCAGTTTGGCAGTCCTCAAAAAGTTAAACATAGAGTTACCACTGGACCCAGTAATTCTTATCCTAGGTATACACCCAAGAGAACTGAAAACATATTCACAGAAAAATGTGCATACTGTTGTTGACAGCAGCATTGAGTCATGATAGTCAAAAAAATGGAAATAACTCAAATGTCCATCAGTTGATGGATAAAAATATGCTATAGCCAAAAAAAGATTATTCAGGCACAAAAATAAATAAAGTACTAGTTCATACCACAATATAAGTGAACCCTGAAAACATACTAAGTAAAAAAAAAAGAAAAAAGTCAGATACTGAAGGCCACATCTTACATGATTTCATTTCTATGAAACACCCAGAACAGGTTAATTCACACAGACACAAAGGCTAGTGGCTGCCCGGGGCTGGCGGCAGGGCAATGACAAGAGACTGCCAACGGAAACAGAGGTGTCTTTGAGGGACAATAAAAATGTCCTGGATCTGGATGGTAGTGATGGCTGTACGACCTTGTGAATATACTAAAAACCACCTGGTGGCACATTTTAAAAATGGGAATATGATGATGAATTATATCTCAACAGAGAGAGCTTTCGAATAGTTAATACATTAAAATTTATGATAGCCTCTCTAATATGTTAAAAGAAGATTTTCCCAGGCCTGAAAACCAATCATTTTGGTGAGCTGACCCTTCCTGCTTAATAGAACTGTCCCAGTAATCTAGTGTCATTTCCAATTTTTAATAGGATTCTAAAATCTCGTGGTTTTAAAACCTTTAGTACCTCCCTCCACCCAAATTGGTAATAGAACACTCTCTCTTAGCCCTGGTCACGTTCTGACCTGTCACACAAACTTCACACACACAGTAGAGGGGAAGGGACAGTGTACAGGTAGAATCCTGGGGACAGAGGCTACGAGGACCCAGTACAAGATCCAGCCACCCGTTAACAGCACCCCGTGTACCACACAGAAGAACCTCCTCCACAAATGGTCAACCCTTCGATTTAAAACATTCCAGAACAGAAAACTCAAAACGTACCTGTTCCACCTTCAAAGGTCTGTGTCTGTGCCCAGTTATGTCCAACTCTTTGCAATCCCATGAACTGCAGCCCACCAGGCTCTTCTGCTCAAGGGATTCTCCAGGCAAGAATACTGGAGTGGGTTGCCATTTCCTACTCCAGGGGATATTCCTGACCCAGGGATTGAACTGAACCTGTGTCTCCTACATCTCCTGCATTAGCAGGCAGATTCTTTACCACTGTGTCACCTGTTTGAGCAAAGCCCCGAGGATGTGAAGAAGCAAACCACGTGCGCCTTCAGAAGACAATTCCTGGCTGAAAAAATGGTAAGCACAAGCGATGTGCACTTTGGGGTGGAGTGAGGAACAGAAAAGCAGGCAGAGTGAGGAAGGGGGGGGTGGGCGGTTGGAAACAGAGCGCACTGTAGAATTTTGTGGGCTAGCTCTTACCTAAGTGAGAGGGAAAAGGTGTCAGAAGGATGAGATTTCCAACTTCGGTTCTCAATGTCGGCTGTGTTGAGAATATGCTGCACAGGGGGCAACAGGACGTTACTGCGGTCACCAAGACGAGTCGTGAAGGTGGCAGGACAAGTGTGCAGAGGGAAGGCTATAAGAGACGGTCAACTTCTGGATATATTTTGAGGATAAAGCCAACAGTATGCACTGGTAATGAATGTAGAACATGAATAAGAGGAGAAGTCTGGATGGCCACACGTTTTTAGGCAACATGGGTGGGTACATGGCAGGGCTCGCCTCTTAAATTGTGGAACCCAAGACAAGTTACATAATACCTCTCTGCCTCAGTTTCTCCATCTACAAATGAGGATAACAATATAAACCTAATAAGACTGTCTTGAAGTCCAAGATGGCAGAGTAGAAGAACGTGCATTCATCTTCTCATTCTTCAATGCAAAGAAATAGAGGAAAAGAATAGAATGGGAAAGACTAGAGATCGCTTCAAGAAAATTAGAGATACCAAGGGAACATTTCATGCAAAGACGGGCACAATAAAGGACAGAAACGGTATGGACCTAACAGAAGCAGAAGATACTAGGAAGAGGT